GTGTGGTTCAGTTGGCTGAGCGTCATCATGTACACTGAAAGGTCGCTGGTTTGATTCCCATTCAGGGCTCATGCCTGGATTGTGGGCTTGATCCCTGGTCAGGGTGCATGGGGGAGGCTGCCGATGGATGTTTCTCTCCCACATCCATGTTTCCCTCTCACATCAATGTTTCTCTCTCCCTCTCTCTCTTCCTTTCTTTTTCTCTAAAATCAATAAAAACATATTAAAATAAAAAAAGAAAGAAAGAAAACCGAGAGGAACCAAAGAAGCAGTGAATGTTTATTATAAACTCAATCTTTTATCTACCATTTCCTGACAAAACAATCTATTGGAATCATAACTTGCCCTAATTCCCTGCCAGGAAAACTGTGACAAGCCAGGTGGAATGATTGATGGCCAGTGATGGAAAGTTCTCTTTGGTCAATCTTGCAACTTTGGTGCCTTGGTGACTCTTTATTGCCACCCCAGTCCCTTGACTCCTATGTTATACAAATTTCCAAATCATGATGACAATAAAGGTTGCATATAGCAGAAAGTCTTTGTGGTGAAAATTCTACTCATCAGCTTCATATCTAGAGGTCATGGCCCTTTGCTGGCCCAGACATTTTAGAGTTGCTTGTTCACTCTTAGTATTTGGCCCTTTGCAAATCTCTCTTTCTACTCCTATTCTTGCTCCTTGCTTCCATCCACATTTGATATTTATCAAATGGCATCAGCCCCTGTGGACCATGAAAAGTTGCCAATGCCTCATGAGCATCTGGCAGAACTCAGGAGCTGGATCCAGAAATCAAGGTGGCCTCACCTCATTTATTCAGGTACCTGTGTGTGCCAAGCACTGTGCCAAGCACGGCGGGGGGGGGGGGAAACGAGCAGTACAGGTCCCTGCCCACCAAGCAGCAGGGGTTTACCAGAATCAGGGGTGCCAGATTTAATAAATAGAAAATATAAGACACCCAGTTTAATATTAAGGAACAAACAATTTTTAGTATAAGTATAATCGTTTTAGTATAATATAATACATTTTTAGTATATCTCATTAGGGACATACTGAAAAATTTCAAAAAATTTTGTTGTTTAGCTGAAATTCAAATTTGGCAGGGTATCCTGAATTTTACCTGCAAACTTACCCCAGGACACCTGCCCTGTCCCTCTTGGTGTTGGTGGACATCCAGGGATAACTCACAAGTCTCTCCTGGCCAAAGTCCCCTCGGAAGGAAATCTGAGGGAGATAGAAGTCATGCTCCCAGCTGAGAGCCCTCTAACTCACTCAAGCCATAGTGCTTACTCACCAACACCTGATACCTGGAGACGGGGCAGGGAAAAGAAGCTGTAGGACCGTCCTCTCCTAAAGTCTGATGCCATTGCATTCTCCAGGGACATCACTTTCCTCTGAGATATGGAATATTGACCAGCCTATGTTTCAGCCACTGATGTTTTCTTTATACATTAACACAAGGTATAGGCACAGCAGATTAAATTCCAAGGGAACTACAGTAATAAAAACAATTAATTATAATAGTGTAACCCAGTGGTTGGCAAACTGCGGCTCGCAAGCCACATGCGGCTCTTTGGCCCCTTGAGTGTGGCTCTTCCACAAAATACCATGTGCGGGCGCGCATGTACAGTGCGATTGAAACTTCGTGGCCCATGTGCAGAAGTCGGTATTTTGTGGAAGAGCCACACTCAAGAGGCCAAAGAGCCGCGTGTGGCTCCCAAGCCACAGTTTGCCAACCACTGGATAACCTAATGTCTATTGACTGCCTGTTATGTGCTAGGAGCAGCACTTCACCCTGGTTCTGTCATTTCATCTTCCCAACAACCCTATGAGTTAAGTAAAGTATGGACCCCTTTCATAGATGGGAAAATGGATATAAAGAGTATAATGAATAAAAGAAAGATCTCCATAAGTAAGAACATTTTATTTTTTTTAAATCAGAAACTGATCCAATAAAATTATCTAGGACGATTTACTCTAACCATGTGAAATTTGATGTTTGAGGGTGGGGGGGAATGCTATTTTTTCCCTGCGGCCCCACAGGAACAAGAAGAGACTTTATTTAGGGGAGGGCAGATCAACTAGAATAAGAGAAGGGCTAGGGAGAGAGGAGCAGAGTTGCTCAGCAGGGAGGAGAGCTGGCCGGGGCTCTGCAGGCCTCACCTCCCACCTCTAGCACAGGCACTGCAGTGACACACAGGTGAAACAGTGGCCCCTTTTAGCTGGGAGGAGACTAAGCGGCCTTGAGGCCAGAGGTTGCCTGGATATCAGGGCCCCAGCTCCTAGGCATGGCTGCCGGCCACCAGCTCAGCTCTTGGCCCTGACTAGTGCTGGAGGAGCTGTCTTCAGGCAGAGCTCAGGTAGCTGGCAGAGGATCCCCACCGCTTGCTTCTCCTGGGCCCAAGGAGGCTTGGGAAGAAGATGGCAAGGAAGAGGAACTGGAGTCTAAAACCTTCCTCCGTACCCACCTGGAAAGAAACAGTAGAGGCCTCTGACTTCAGGCCTGCCCTGACTACAACCACCATAGGTACAATCACTATCACTGGGACCATTCACAGCCACTGGAGCCGGAGTGTGTGTGTGTGTGTGTGAAAGAGAGAGAGAGAGAGAGAGAGAGAGAGAGAGAGAGAGAGAGAGAGAGGAATGTTACATTCTCCTACAAGCTTTACAACAGGAGCTCTGGCCTCAGTAGGGGAACCTGTGCCTTGGTAGGCAGGAAGCCAGGAGACTAGTGGTCCCGACCCATCTTCTTCCATCTAATATCCTGCTGGTGCTTTCCATTGGCCAAACCCAACAAAAACAACCCCCCATAAAGTTATTATGTACAAAGAAAAAACTAGTAAATTTATGAGAAATTATTTTTTTAAGAACTCACATATTTTGAGAATTAAAAATTTATATGATGCTCAATATCTGATATATGCATATTGAGGTGTAATTTGTGCTTTACAAATTTTTAAGTTTTGATAATCCCAGCTATAAAAATTTCTGAAATACATTTCTTGGAACCAGAGAAATGAATAGAAAATAAAAACTCCCCAAATTTCTCATCTGAAGAGGGTTTATTGGATCTTTTAACACTAACCTTGGTAATCATCATGGTTTGTAAAATAGCATCCAATGAATTACACTGTCTTGACTTCAATTGTAACAGGAAATGAAACCATCTCAGGATAGGCGATGTCAGAGTCTCCCATCTATTTGTGGGCAGCCAGTATCATACATGATTAGCCTTTATTCCCATTCGACTCATGTATGTTTCAGTCATACATGACTTTGGATAATACATTTTTCATTATGTATGAAAAAAAACAGAGGAAGCCTATAAAAATTATATTAAAAAATGCATAATTCAAATTTTCCCAGCAATAGCTTACTAGGCAAGAAACAATGTCCTGGTTACCTAAGGGGTGATCCGCTGTCCTTCCCAGCTTGCACTATGAACATCTGTCGCTGGCTGGACTAACAAGGGGATTCCGACCACTGAGGACCCCAAACTATAAACCTTCCCTCAAGGCAGGATCCCTCTCATCCAGCCACAGAAGCTGCAGAATCCAACCCTGCCAACCAACCTTCCCAGTGCTCACCAGAGACATGGCCCAGGAATGGGTGGAACATAACTGAACAAAACAACAACTGTCTCCAGCTTGTTTGTCTTGGTTTTCCTTTAAAAAAAGCAATGCCATTAAAAAAATATATATACTTTCTCACCCTCACCTAAGTACTCTGCCAGGTTCACTTTGGCCCTTAGGGGAAAACAGTCATATGTTTGCAAAAACCAGAATGTTTCTGTAAGTTTGAAGCCCTTTCCTCAACTTCTAAGAAAAATGCTAAGAGAGCCAAGTAAATAAATACACACAAGAAAAAGCAACAGAGTCATCAAGCCGTCTTGATGAGTAGACTTCTAGGGATTATTAACCCTTGTGTTTATAAGAAAGGAATTAATACTAACCCCACGTGATATGATTGATAGTGATTGTTAAATTAAAATAACTCTAGGTGGGCTCATATTAGAAGGCAGGTTAGGGAAGATAAAGGCAGACTCACTTCTGTAATCATTCAGCACCTTAGTGAACATCGGCAAACTACTAGTGTTTCTGCAGCTTATCTGTAGCTCATACTCTACTTAGGGCACTGTGTTTGCCCTTAGAGGGGTTCCAAAATTATTCCGCAAATAGCCCCTGCCTTAAAGGAGGTCATTGGAATGACCCATGGGGTGTTATGTAAAAGGTATTTGGAACTACTAATATCATTCATGGAAAACCTCTTTTATACAACATATTGAAATTCAAAAAGATGTTCCCTGCTTTGTAAGATGAGAGAATCACACTGATTTCCATAAAATTAGCAAATGATGATTTCCCCCCTCCACTTGAAATGTTCTTAATTCTATCAGTTTCAGTACAAACAGATCAGCATACGTAAATTTTCTAGAAAATACCTGGCATGAATTTTGTATAAAAGCCATGCTTTTGAAGAGCTAGGTAGGAAAATGGTAGATGACCATAAAACTGCTTTGTATTCTCTGAATCCTTCAAAGTATTTCTAATACAAAGTTGACATAAACATCAATGTTTCTAAACTTCTGGCAGAATAAGCTATAGAAACAATTTCAAAAACCTTTGTTCATAGATGTTACTCAATAAAACATTTATTAAATGACTAATAAAAATTTATCAGCCTGGCTGGTGTGGCTCAGTGTTTGAGCATTGACCTATGAACCAGGACATTACTGTTTGCTTCCCGTTCAGGGCACATGCCAGGGTTGTGGGCTCAATCCCTAGTGTGGGGTGTGCAGGAGGCAACCAATCAATGGTTCTCTTTCATCATTGATGTTTTTATCTCTCTCCTTCTCCCTTCCTCTCTGAAATCAATAAAAATATATTTTTAAGAAAAAATGCATCAGGTAAAGTTTTCAGTTCTGAATTAAAAGCAGTTAGAGAGCAATGCTGTTCTGAAGGGGATATATGACTAGTATCTAATGCAATCATCTTTATTCCTTTAGGAGAAAAATCAGCACTGAAATTGAATTCCCTGAGAAGTTAGAAGAAACCAAGCTCACCGCAGCTGAAAATGAAGACCAAAAAAAGCTCCATGTTAAAATACAGGCTTTTGAAGACAAAATAAATGCTGAGATCAATACCCCTGGATCTATCAGAAGATATAGTTTGGGACAAGTTTCCAAGGAAGAAAGAAAAGACATTAGATTTAACAGGTATAAATTTTGCTTGGCTGTTTTTTTTTCCCAAATATGTAATTCATGTTGGCTATTCGTTTTATTATCACACTGTTATGGGGTGTTTTTTAAGTATCTTTTACTTATAGTAACCCAAAGTTCCATCCTTTCATGAATGAAACTTCCTTCACAATACTTTAATTATCCAAAGAAGCTCACTTTTGAAAAAAAATGAGAATACAAATGGCTTATTTTTTAAAACACTTTTTAAATTCTATAGATATGGACAATGACTTTCAAAAGCTTCTCAATTTCTGATGAAAAAGCTGAAGGAGAAGTAGAAAAAAACAATATAAATATATAAGTCCGTCATGTTCTAGCTAGTTTTGCCACAAAAATTGATTTTTAAGTCTATGGGCAGGTGATCTACATCTTTAAAGGATTGGCTTATTACATAACTTGGTGGTCTATGTTTTATCAAATCTGTTAGTAGCACTGATTTTCCATTTCACACTCTAGAGGAAATAACTCTTGTCCCAGTGTTGTTATTCTTTCTTTTCCTTGTCAGTGAATGGTCACTCTTTACTGTCTCGGCCTTCCCTTTGTTTGTATTGTAGGTCAAAGAGTCTGGCTTTGCACACTGTGCTAACAAAGGGCATGAGTTCAGATGATGGGGAAGTTGTTGAAAGAGGAGATATACCAGCCAGCATCTCCCTTTCAGAAATAGACTCACTTAGCCAAGGAAATAAGTCACCCTTTAAGGCGGACACTGATGGATCACAGCTGGGAAATTCTTCAGTTTCACACCCAAGCATTATACATATAGAATCAGAGAATCTGCCAGAAACAGTAAAAAAAAACTATCAGGAAGAAACTCCAGAGACGACTGTAAGTCCTGTAGAATACCAAGATAAGCTCTACTTGCACTTAAAGAAGAACCTCAGTAAAGTGAAAGCATACGCCGTGGAAATCGGAAAGAAGATTCCAGTCCCTGACCAGTGTACCATTGAAGGTAAGCTCTCTGAACTCCCCAACTTTGAAAAATTTAAGACATCATTAGAAAAAAAAGGGGGGGGGCTCAAAATGACAGAAATTGCATTTTCTGGTTCTTTTGAAAAATAGATCATTTTGAAGCACCACTACATTATTTTAATTACTTTCCCCCCCAATAAGGTCAATCATCTTTCTAATTCTCATTTGAATCTACTTCATCTGATTTGTTTGAAACTCAAGGGTACATTGTTTCTGGTTCCTTGTCCCTAGCAATCAAGAAAAACCTAGAAAGGGGTCTGTGGACCCCAAAACAGGCTCTATGGTAGGGGTCCAGCCAGAGGCATTTTTCCATCCACATAATTGTGCAAGGAAATGATACACAGCATTGGGCTTCAATCGATTTTTTCTTCCATTCATTCAACAAGCATTTATGAAGCAGCTACTATATGCTAGGTGCTGAGAGTCACCTTTGACCCAAAGAGACACAACTCCTCGCCTCTTGGAGATTAGAGGAGAGAAGGAAAAGAGCACAGCCATGGTCAGGAGGCGGTGTAGGTCCGGAACCAGTGAGAGTGTGAGCTGGTCAGAAAACAGAGGCCAAAGTGAGAAAAGGATGTCAGGGGTCGAGACTTCTCTGGGGTGCACATTTGAAGGAGGTGCCCAAAAAACTCAGTAAAATTTGAAGTAACAATAGAATCAGCAGCAATGTCTTGCCAGCCATGTTGGAGATGAGGTAAGTAGTAATGTGGGTCACATCTTTATTTATAGCTTTTGATATTTTGTTCATCGTTGTTGTATTCATTTCAATTTTTAAAAATATTGTTTATCTTGAGTACCCAATTTTCTGGTGCCTCCTCACATGTCATGTCTTAGTCCTGACTCTGGGAAAGATGATGGATTTGAGACATGGGTATTAAAAATGGCAGAGTTGCCCAGACAGTGTGGCTCAGTGGTTGAGATTTGACGTATGAACTAGGAGGTCACGGTTCAATTCCCATTCAAGGCACATCCCTGGGTTGCAGGCTTGATCCACAGTGTGGGGCATGCAGGAGGCAACCTATCAATGATTCTCTCTCATCATTGATATTTCTCTCTCTCTCTCTCTCTCTCTCTCTCTCTCTCTCTCTCTCTCCCTCTCCCTTCCTCTCTGAAATCAATAAAAAATATATTTTTTAAAAATGACAGAGTTCCAAGGCAGGCTCACCCTCTGGTCTGGTTTGGATGGCTCCAAGGCACTGCCAGGGCAATTAGATCTTTCCTATAGCCATTCTTAGGCAGCAGGCATGTTCTTCCCTTGAGATTCAGATGGTTCAGATGGAAGTCTTAGCCCTCTCCTTGGACATGACATCTTTTCACAGGCTACAGCCCTCACTGAAAAAGCCAGGCAGCCCATCTTCCAGAAAGAAGTACAGCTGAAGGATAGTGACTCCAATTCATAGTCACTCACCTACTGACCATCCTCCCCTTCCAGGTTTAGGAACTAGGAGTTTTCCTACTCTACTTTCTATCCCAACTCTCACTCCAAATCAGAGGGAAGAAGATATTCTCACACTAACAAATGCAAGGGGCTTAGTGGGTTTTAGGGCTTGGGAATGATGGATATTATTATTTAGCATGTCTGTCTAGAATCTGACATTTTCAAAGGTGTTTACATTCATTTATTGATTAGCCTTCTTTTTAAATGTTGAAAATAAAAGTGATATTGCTCATATTCAATATAACTTTTGGATAATGAAGTATATCAGGACTTGGGAATAACTAAAATCAATCAAACTCAACTAATACAAACTCTTTACAATTGCTCATTTCACTGGTAATCTATGCATTTATGCACAAGTTGAAGAATTTGATTTAAGAGAGGTTAAATGAATTTCCCAGTTTGGCAGAGGAAGTCTGTAGCAAATAGAAAGCTAGCCACATTTCCATCTACAAGAATAGTTTCTGTTTTGGGGGTTTCTTGCTTTAAGTTTAGCTTAAAGCATTCAAGGTATGCTACATGGTGAAGTCCTGCAGAGTTACTTCAAGCATCTAGTTCTCAAAAACACGTGGTATTTCTTATTGCCTTAAATTATTTTGTGTGTTTGAGAGTTAACTAGGTGACTGGGTGGTTTGTTGTTTTTTTCTCCAAAATGTTGAATGAATCCATCATCTTTACTAAAATAAATAAATAAATAAATAAATTATTTTCTTTTGATGTTTCCTATCAGGAATGACCTAAAATTGAGTATGTATATTTTTAAGTTGATTTTTAAGTTGACACTTAGGAATTCACTCATACTTTTATAATTTCCTGGATGTTCTTGGTAAATTCCTTGTGCAGATATATGTGTGAGGGATGAAAGATTTATATGACTCAATGTAAATAAATCCACCAAGAAAGGCCTCATGCTGACTGCAGGGGACACGCTGTTATTATTTCAGAGATTGTGTAAACCATTCAGCAAAATGCCAACAGTCATCTGGGTGACACAGTTTTGCTTGGTCTCATGAGTTCACTCGGCTCAACAATACAGTGCTTCTTTCATAAAGATTCATAGAAGGAAGATTTAGGCTTAGAGATTGTTATGCTTAATGTGTTGTGGGTATATGATGTCTTTCTTGCAACTTATGCAAAGTAATCAAGGTACAAAGGGAAGAAGCATAAAAATCACTTCCACAATATTAAACAGACAAATAGCCAGCAGGAAACAAGATCAACAACAAAGGGTTGAGATGAGTTTAGTCTGGTGTTACAAAGTCCATACTATGAAAACATGACAAAACAACCCTTTAAAGAAATTGCTTTTTGGTATTGGTTAGAATCATATGCCACAACTGATATTTGACTTCCTATATTTTTACCTATAAACCATCACTTGCATACAGTTCAACTTAACACTTTGGTAATAAATGGGGTTGAAGAAACAGGTACCTGACTAGGTACAGTGCAGCAGAATTCAGTATATGGTGAATCAAGGTCACAAATAACTCTCCTAGCCTCAGTCAGCTACCTTATTATTGATCACAGTGCAAACAAGCAATCTACACTGATAAAAGAGAAAAATGCAAATTGACCATACCTTTGCGACACCCACTAGCCAATCAGGAGTGAGTATGCAAATTAACACAGCAAAGATGGTGGGTTAATTTGAATACGCAGGCGCCGAGCAGGGACGCTTGCATCCCGCACCACCCCAGCTGCTCCGGGCCTCTGGGCAGCGTGGGAAAGCGGAAAGGCAGCTCCAGCCAGAGTGAAGGCCCATTCTTGCACGAATCTTCAGGCATTAGGCCTCTAGTAGAGTATAAAGAGATCAGCAAAAATCTACTAGCATGTCTGGAAAAGCTGTCAAACCCCAAGTCTTATTGAGTTTGGGTCAGCAGTGTCATTTTGGTTATGAAAGAGCTTGTTGTCCCCAAGTCAGTAATTCTCCCCTGGACCTTCGAGGCTTTAGCACGGGTGCAGGTTTGCCAACTACTGTAAGTTATGTATTCATACACAGACTGATGGTCTTATATCACTGCCTAATTATATTTACATATAAGACCAAAGCAATTCAGTTCATCTACTAAAGGGCATGTTAAAAATCTAAACCACTGTTGTTCATTTATGTGAACAAAAATGATTAGAGGTTAAAAAAAAAACCATGATATTGAAATAAATCCTTGAAAATCTGGATTTCCATAAAGGATGATTTAAAAGCTTACAAGAACCCATCAATGCTGCTTTAGTTAGCTTTGAAGTATTTCTCGATTGGGTGAAAATAAATCCCATCTGTAGAGCATATCAGCAAGCTGACTTGCAGAAAGCTAATTTTAAAGCTAGTAATGTTGTCCTTTCTCTAATAGACCCACATGAGTTGATTTTTCTTGACTTGAACAGATATAAGGATATCTAAAGGTGAAATAAAGTTCAGTGTAACTATCAAGCACCAGAAGCTGTTTTCAACATTAATTACAAATAGAGCTTCCTTATTGAAATTTTGCTTGTAGTCAAGTCCACTCTCATGTTGGGATGACAGAGGGGCAAAGCCAAGACCAGTCCCGATCTGTTCCTGCTCAGTTGGTCCAGTCTGGGGGGTGATAATGGTAACACTCATCCACTTGCTGGTTCTGGGGAAGGTTTCTTTCTTTTTAAAAATAGTTTGGTTTACTCATGGGACTGAGATCACTTATCCATGGGGAGAATTGTAAGATTTAGAGAAAGAAAAAAAACCCTAAGTTTTTACTCACAATCCTAGAGGAAAAAAACAGCAAATAGTATAGATGTTACAAATTTCCTGAAGCCTTATTTAATTGAAGTGATCCCTTGGGCCCACTTGTTGGGAAAACCTTTTCTAGAGAATTTTTCTTGGTACTTTGAAATTTGTCTTGGATTACCTTACCTTATTCATCAGTTCCTATTTCTCCGAAGTGTGGATTTTAGTCAAAAACAGACAGTTAAAATGGTGGCTGTGTTCTCCTCTTTACTTTCTCCTGCTACACATATCCTGGATCCAGTCATCTGCAATGGCCTACAAGAAACATCAAAATAATAAGGAAGCCCTACAAATCCTTTTGAAAAGATTGCCTCCCAATTACTCTATTGTGTTAACACCAGATCATCACATCACCCGTGAGGGTGTTATACTCTTTAACCCATGAAAAATGTTGCAGAGTCCCACCAGAAGGCATCAAATAACTTTACTTCTCATTAATTATGTGTTCAAAGACTCCTCCTTCTTAAAAAATGAAAAAGTTGGATTTTCTTTGAACATTAAAATAAATAAAGAAAAATACCCTAACCATGCTAATGGACAAAAGGGTATGTTGTTTATCTTCATCTTGGTTTACATGATATTTATCTACAGAACAGATGTACATTTATCTAACCAGGAAGCAGCTTAAAGTAAAATTGGAAAACACGTGTACATTCTTGGGCCATTTTTGTGTGAAAATTCAGGAGAGATGATATGCCTGTAAATGAAGTGAGTCATCTAAACCCTTTAAAATGGACAGTTTCTCTAATATAGTATCCACCTTGAATATGTCCCTAGTAAGTGT